GCGGCCTATACACGCACGCGGCCTATACATGCGTAAATACGGTATTCATATTTAGTGCAATTAATAGTTTAACAACCAACCAACCTGTCACAGGTGTGACATATGTCACACATGATTTTAACATCATAAAGTCTTAAAATACATTTTTAGTGTGTGACATATTCTTGATGTCTTTTAAACTGTTGCATTATTTACGTGTACTTTGATAATAAGAATATGTCGCGCGTTACCTATGTAACGTTGTTGTGGTCACGTGTCTCCTATTCAGTGCGACAAATAACTTCCACGTACGTCTCGGATTCAGCGAATAAGTTATTGAACGCTCACTTTTACACCAGCCAGTACAATTATTATCACGTCCAGTATCACCAAAAAACTCTTTGGAGCTGGACTGTTATAACCATGTTTCGGATGCAATATAGGGCACTTTCGCCCAGGGTTCGATTTCACGTGTTCTGTGTTCGTTGCCGCGGTTATTGCTAGGCAACGATCTGTTGGTATTCTATGGACGACAGAACATCTTGTAGAAGTGTTTGGTTTCATCTGTTGTTATGCAACGGAACCTCTTATCCTCTCATCTCCGGGGAAACGCGTTTGCTGTTTCGGCAATTCCTATGCATCGGCTCACTGTTATTGCGTTTCCATGGAAGTATACTTTCCGGTTTCATCCGTTGTTACGCAACGGGACCTCTTATCCTATGCAACTGTTTTAGCGTTACTATGGAAACGACTGCTGGATTCGGAACATGTGACATGTTTTTACCTGTTTTTACCTGTCACAGGTGTGACATCTATATAACAGGTACATAAAATCGCGCGTATTTGAATGCAACGTTGTGTCAAAATTTCAAAGCAATCGGTGAAGAACTTTCGGAGATTTTCGATCAGGGACAAACGAACATTTACATTTTTATTTATATAGATAGTGTAACGTGTCGGCAAACCAGAGGAAGAGACTTCTATGGAGACGCTACAATAGACCGTTACAGAGGAGATAACAATTGCTCCATTGTAATTCTAACAGGAGTCTCCATGGTTATAACGGAGGGTTCGTTGCCTAACAGCGGGCAAGGTTATAGAAAGCCCAGCTTCGACACGAAACAGTGAGTCTCGGAATAGCATTCGAAGAAGTCAGTCGCGGAACAGCCTTCGGAGAAGAAACTTCGGAATATCCGTCTGGGTCCAGTATCGCTGGAATATTGTAAGCAGTGATTGTGGCACTGCAAGTGAAAATGCCTGTAAAGTGTGTGTAAGTGAGCGAAAGGAATAAATTCGCTATATTAAAGGACGGCGTGAACTTATTTGTGGCGTGACACACAAACACGCTACATTGGTGTCAGAAGTGTCGACAACGGAGTAAAGTTATTTGTAGCGTGACACACAAACACGCTACATTGGTGCCAAATGGTCAGTACATATAATAACACAATAACTCAATATCCTTGTTTTTGTGTACCTTACTTAGAAGGGACAGAACCTATTGTATTTAAACCACAACCTTAGATCTGGGAATTCCAAGTACCGGTAAACAGGTAGCACCTTCTCAGAGGAGGTAGAGCCCTAACGAATTATCCTTTATTTTCCTAAATATCTCCCCCTCCTCTCATGAGTTTTACTGCCACCTTTTCAATAAATTTCAGGTGTTCTTCAGTTCAGTAGTCGAAGTGTTTGGAAGAAGACATTTTTCTGTGCAAGTTCTATTATTGTGGCAGTTCTCTACTTTGTAGGTAAGTTACAAACTCCAGCTACTATTTTTCGACAAATAAGCATTACATTTCATAATAACTTGAACTTTCATTACAAATAAATTATTAGCTTTCAATAGAATTTGAATGCCCTCCCTCTACAAGAAAAAATATTGTGAATTGATTACAGCAGTTTTGTATTTATTTGAAGTAGAATGGCTTTCAAAGTAATTTTTATGAATATTGACTTCTAAAATTTTCCACATCTTCAAAAAATTTACAAATAGGGCAGTCATAAAATTTAGAAATTCAAGCTGCCAGAAATTGTTTGTTCCCATGGACCAGTTTGCTTGGTTTATATTTCAAGGTGTAAATGTATAAATACAATTTCATATAGATATCCATATTTTGTTCTGCTTTTCGTTTTGATATTTTTTCCATTACATTAATATGGCAGATTGAAATCATAAATTAAACACGGTATAATAAATGGTGAACAATTATAATTATTATTGGCACTAACGATAAATACAATATCTCATTGAACTGCAAAGTGATGTAACAGCCCAAGCTAGATTAAAAAATAACAAACAACATTTCTGGATAAGCAATGAAATTGCCAATAAATTTCCACAGCTTTGGGAGAAGGTGAAATTGTTTTTTATTGGATTTCCTGCTTCATATTTAGTTAAATGTGGATTTAGTCGAGTTCTTCATCTGCTATCAAAGGCTCGTAACCGTCTTGATATTGTGAAGAGAGGTGATCTTCGATTATCTCTAACAACGCTGCAACCAGATATACAAAAACTTGCTTCTTCTCAATCAGCCGCAAGGATCTCACTAAACCTAAGGGACACTAATATTATTGTAATATTTTTTGTCAGGAGCATAATTATATACTGTAAATAAACAGAACATTATATAAGTAAAAATTCTATTATAAATAAAGGTTTTTGTTAATAAACCCCTTTCTTATTATCAATATTCCTTATGCTATAAACAAATAATAATTGTTATAAATAAAAGTACAGTTGATAAAGTACATATTTATAATCAATATTACATTTCTTATAATTAAACAATATGAGGGCTGGGGGGCCACAGAACTGAATGAAAGTCAGAAGTGGGCCACGAGCAAAAAAAGGTTGAGAACCACTGCTTTAGAAGATGACTTGATTAACATAAGATTTTCAAAAATTTCTCCCTGCTTGTCAACACAACGCGTCGCACACGTATGAACCGCGCTCGTAGCATTTCGCAGTTCCACACGTTTCTTCCTTACTGTCATCGCCGTGTTCAGAATAAATTCAAGCAACGCTTCGCGTGTTTGTACCTTTACCTGGTACACAATGTCCTTCATCCAGCCCCAAATGCAATAAAATGAACGGCCTGATTAGCTGATCATACAGACCACACCAGACATTGACACTGAATCGGTGTTGAAACTCGGTTCTATCGTGGCACGGGGATTATTTTCTGCCCAAACATGTAAGTTGTGAATGTTGTTGACCCTGTCCCGTGAAAACTGTGCCTCATCGCAGAACGTTATCAAGCGGTACAACGGCTGATTTCCATTTAATATTCACAAATTGTTACCAGCACAACCCTCCAGATCATAATGTGGTGGCCATGGCACGAAAGTTGCAAAACTAATTCGAGATAAAGTATGCAAAAATACTCGAAGAAAATGTTGATGGAGCTGTGGGCTTAGAGAAGTCCAGCACACCTAGGACGTCAGAGTCAAATACAAGTTCGGACTGGGACAGCATACGGGTACTAGATCTTCTCCAGGAACAACTGCAGGTCATGCAGGATCAAGTTAGGAGACTGGAACAAGCAAGTACAGTTAAACTATTGAAAAAGTTGATGGAAAGGGAGAAGCAGAAGAAGAAAAACGTGGTGAAAATTTAGGTCTTTTCAAAAAGTGCATTCTTCAGTGGTAAGTGACACTATAGACGCTAAGTTTGCTAATGCTGCATTAGGGGCGGAGGATGTGAATTATCCGACGAATGTGCATCACAGTGTGAGTGCTAAGCAGTCAGGAATTACTCAACTGGCGGCTCCGGCAGGTTGTTGTGCTACATCCACAGCCACCGCTGGTGTAAAATACACTAGAAACAAAAGAACTCGAGAAGTTGAACAAACAGCAGGGAAGGAAGCACAAGCCAAACGGCCGAAACTCAATTGGCCCTCAGCTGGTGATAAGGTGGGCGCTGGATTTGGGAATGCTGCATTAGGGGCGGAGGATGTGAATTATCCGACGAATGTGCATCACAGTGTGAGTGTTAAGCAGTCAGGAGGCACTCAACTTGCGGCTCTGGCAGGTCGATGTGCTCCACCAACAGCCGCCGCCTGTGTAAAACACACTAAAACAAAATAACTCGAGAAGGTGAAAAAAGGGCAGGGCAAAAGTTGCAAGCCAAGCAACCGAAAACCAATTTGCCGTCACCCGGTGATAAGGTGGACGCTATATTTGGTAATGCTTTAACAGGGGCGGAAGATGTGAAGCTTCCGACGAACTTGCATCAAAATATGAGTCCCAAGCAGTCAGGAATTGCTCAAATTGCGGCTCCAGCTGGTTCTTATGCAGCAACAACTGCTGTTGCACCAGCCAAAACCGGCGCAGAAAACACGAAAAACAAAAGTACTGGAAAAGCTGAAAAAACAGCACGGAAAGAAGTGCAAGCCAAGCGGCCGAAAGCCAATTGGCCGTCAGATTTTCCGACGAACTTGCATCAAAATATGAGTCCCAAGCAGTCAGGAATTGCTCAAATTGCGGCTCCAGCTGGTTCTTATGCAGCAACAACTGCTGTTGCACCAGCCAAAACCGGCGCAGAAAACACGAAAAACAAAAGTACTGGAAAAGCTGAAAAAACAGCACGGAAAGAAGTGCAAGCCAAGCGGCCGAAAGCCAATTGGCCGTCAGATTTTCCGACGAACTTGCATCAAAATATGAGTCCCAAGCAGTCAGGAATTGCTCAAATTGCGGCTCCAGCTGGTTCTTATGCAGCAACAACTGCTGTTGCACCAGCCAAAACCGGCGCAGAAAACACGAAAAACAAAAGTACTGGAAAAGCTGAAAAAACAGCACGGAAAGAAGTGCAAGCCAAGCGGCCGAAAGCCAATTGGCCGTCAGATTTTCCGACGAACTTGCATCAAAATAGGAGTGCTAAGCAGTCAGGAATTTCTCAACTTTCGGCAGGTCCTTTTGCTCCACCCACAGCCACCGCTGGTGTAAAACACACTAGAAACAAAAGACGTCGAGAAGTTGAACAAACAGCAGGGCAAGAGGCGCAAGCCAAACGGCCGAAACTCAATTGGCCGTCAGCTGGTGGTAAGGTGGGCGTAGGATTTGGGAATACTGCATTAGGGGCGGAGGATGTGAATCTTCCGAAGAACATTCATCAAAATATGCGTCCTAAGAAGTAAGGCATTATTCAAATTGCCGATACAGAGGTCCTTATGCACCCCCAATTGCTGTGGCCCCAACCAACACCGGCGCAGAGAACACTAAAAACAAAAATAGTGGAAAAGCTGAACAAACAGCACGGAAAGAAGCGCAAGCCAAGCGGCCGAAAGCCAATTGGCCGTCAGATTTTCCGACGAACTTGCATCAAAATATGAGTGCTAAGCAGTCAGGAATTTCTCAACTTGCGGCAGGTACTTTTGCTCCACCCACAGCCACCGTTGGTGTAAAACACACTAGAAACAAAAGACGTCGAGAAGTTGAACAAACAGCAGGGCAAGAGGCGCAAGCCAAACGGCCGAAACTCAATTGGCCATCAGCTGCTAAGGTGGGCGTTGGATCTGGGAATGCTCAATTAGGGGCGGACTATGTGAATCTTCCGACGAACATGCATCAAAATATGAGTCCTAAGCAGTCAGGACGCGCTCATCATTCGGCTCCGGCAGGTTCTCTTGCTCAACCCACAGACACCACCGGTGTAGAACACACTACTAAAAACAAAATAACTCGAGAAGCTGAAAAAACAGCAGGGCAAAAGGCGCAAGCTAAGAAGCCGAAAGTCAATTGGCCCTCAGCTAGTGCTAATGTGAACGCTATATCTGGTAATGCGGAAGATGTTAAGCTTCTGACATACTTGGAAAATCCTTGCGTGTGCAACGGTAAACTGTAAATCAGCCATAGCGCTGTATTTAAAAAAAATTGCGGCTCCCGTGTAGAAACCCGAGATTAACGGCAGTTGGGATCTGTTGCGCTGACCACGTGACACCCTCTATCCTGTAAAGTTGGCACTAACTTCGCCAACAAGTGGGTTTCGATCGGTCAGTATAGTTCATTTGCGGACTCAAGCTACGGAGTTTGGTTTTTAGTTTATGATAAGGACCAGTGCTTGGCTCTTGTGAACACGGTAATGAACCTACGGGTTCCATAAATTGTTGGTAAGTTCTTGAGTAGCTGAGCGACTGGCGGCGTCTGAAGAACTCAGCTCCACGGAGTTAGTTTGTAGCAGAAACCCATCAGGTTCAAATACTTTAATGGGCATTTGTAAAAGGGTTTGCAGTTCCATTTACAAACCTAAACTGCAAGTAACTACAGCGCTATCGCTAATTCAAACTCTGCTGTTCACTACAGCAAGCACTAAGTCTTCTCAATGTGCTGTGACTTAATCAGTCGTTACATAGTGACGGATCCCAACAATGCCCTCTGCTTCTGTGCTGAGTGCTGACAGCTAAACTGCTGCTGACCCTCGCCAGCAAAATGATTCTTGGTTCCGATTCCCACTGGGATCATGATCCTATTTTAATACCTGACGGCTCTCCAGAAGCGTTAGCAATAATAGATGTTAGTTAACAAAGGCTACTGGATTGTATCAGCAATGAATGAATTACAGAAATACACGAGAAACTAACAGTAGAAGCACAGCTACAAACTTTATCGCCGTCATTAATAATGCAAAGCGGGCAAAAAATGTTAATAATTCTATACAAGCATTATGAACAACGCAGAACACAACCAGAGACTGATAAAAGAAGAAAATCATGTGAACTAAATAAAGAAATAGGATTGATTTCGCCGAAGACCAGAGGTTGGCCAGAACTATCTAAACAACAACAACATAGTAATGCAGAAATAAATTGAAACAACTGTAGAAACGACACTAATAACACGCATATTATAAATTCAACCAAGTGGCCTACGACAGCGGCAGATTTCTGCAGGGGTTCCCTGACGCGCTGAGTCCTTCTCTTTAGCTGAGAATGTAACGCCCCACTCCAGGTGGTGGTCACCGTAGCGGTTCTCGAGTGCACATTGCCGATCCATCTCCTCCTCTGCCTGCTTCTTAAAGGCCTGGAAGCTATTTTCAATGGTGGACTTGACAGAGAAAGTAATGGGACCAGATGTGTTCTGTGAAGATGATCCTCGGGCAAGAAAAGACCAGGAGCCGCCATTCTTCACATTATTTTTCTTGAAAGCTGATACGAAGTTACATTCCGATACGTTGGCTGAGTCTGGAGAAGTTTCCTTATTCTCAACTAGTGTGTAGTCGTTCAACAGCCCATAATTAACAGGCTTTATTTGCTGTGGGTTGCACGACAGTTGGCAACACTGCCTTCCCTTCTGTCTTCACCACCAGATACTATATCGCTGTACAGGCAAGACTGGTTGCTAGGAGTGGATAAATGATTTATGGCACACATACGAATGCCGTTATTATAAATCCTCCCTAGGAGTAGTCTTGGTTCTGTCTTGCTTGGTTGCATGACTGGATTATTGGCAGCTTGTGCGAAGCCATTACTGGAATGCTATTGTGAAGTTTGCCGCCGGGCAGGCAAGGGCTT